ATATATATATGATGATGATGATGATGATGATGATGATGATGAATTAAAAAAAACTACATGTAAAAGATAAAATAAACAAATTCAAATGGCAAATCAATTTATCTCAAACTCTTTTTGTAATGATATATTATCCTATCCAAGGATTACTTACAAAAGAAATAATGTAATATTTATCTAATATCCTAACATTTTCTCCAAAAAGTTCCATTGGAGATTATTGCCATCATAACCTGCTATGGTAGACTTCAAGATGTGGAGAACTGGAAATCCTAATAAATTTCCTAGGTTACTTGCCTAAACATTATCTAGCATATAAAGTATTATTGTCAAACATATAACTCACCTATTTATTTATTTTAATAAGTAATTCACCTATAAATTTTTTTTGCAAATATCTATGATTAATCAATAATGTATGGAGGATCCTAAATAGTATATTTGCTGTTTATGAAGAGTCGATTGATGCTGCAGAAATGCTTGAAGTATTTGCAGAGCAGGTAGAATTGTGCATGTTGAATGAATGAGTACTCCGACCAAACAAAGAACACTGAGCTGCCACTTTAAGAGATTAGAGTCAGCTTTGTTGCACATTAACCCAACATAATCCTCCACCATCATAATTAATCTTCTCCTTCCTTCCCTGCGCACATCTTTATCAGTGTCTTAATTAACGTTTTATTCTTATCTTAATCCACACGAAAAGCCTTCGGTTTCCACCAGCTTGCAATTTTGTGTCCCCCACCTTTACTTGATAGATTCCATCTCTCATCAGTTTACATCATAAAAAGAGAGATGGAGGGAAAAGAACACTGCGGCTTTCTTTATCTGTAATGTATCATACACTCCTCATTCCGGTAGCTTCGACAGATAACCAAGATAAAGGCAATTAATAATGCTTAGCATGTAATGTTGGCAACCTTCATACACTCTCCCATCGTATATTATCATGTAATACAAATTATTCGTATGTGATTGTAGTATAATGCATTTGTACTCTGAAGGCTTTCTGGAACTCTTAGTTCGACTAATATATTAAGTTCATCACGATAAAGTCTTTCTTTGAACAGCTACGTCTTGTAAGAGCTGTTTTTATCTCAGCCTGTTCTTTCCTCTCCAAAGCGCTATATTCTGTGAGTAGAGAGAGAGAGAGAGAGAGAGAGAGAGCTGGTTATCTTGATCATGAAGAGTAAGGAGTGGATCATAATTTATGAGCTTCTGATGGTGGAATGCTACTTAGGTAACCTCGATTCATCTCCCACACAAACTCTGGCAAGTATATTGTTGTGGCTGGTTCTCCATCGGTAGTTCCTTCTATCGATTCTTCGTGTTCTCGTCCTTTCAGTTGTTGCAATGGGGGGCAGACTCCAGCAGAAGGCTGAATCCACCATCCCCACTCCCACCTTCTCCCCTCCGGAAGCCAACAGAACAGGCATCGAGAGCACCACATGGTGCGTGGCCCATCCGGGGGCTTCTCAGTTCGATCTCGAGAACGCACTTGATTGGGCCTGTGGAGTGGGTGGCGCCGACTGCTCCTCCGTGCAGCCGGGCGCCGCTTGTTACCAGCCGGACACCCTCCTCTCCCACGCCTCTTATGCCTTCAACAGCTACTACCAGCACAATGGCAACTCAGATGTTGCATGCAACTTCGGTGGGACTGCAACCATTACAAGCAGAGACCCAAGTAAGCTCGTTGATGGCAAGTCCTCTTAAGCTTTCTGTCCTGATCGACTCTTCAAATCAATAGACCTTTTAATTCATCTTTCTCACGTCATGGTAGGCTATGGATCCTGCAAGTATCTCAGCTCAGAGTGAGTAGCACTCCATGCTGTTTCTGCATACATTCGATTACCGAGCACTTGAACTCTGCTTAGCAAGCTTCTTTTGATGGATGCAGGTCAGCTTCTGAGTCGTCAACGCTGTTTCAGATTGGCTTCCTCACGAAGATTTTGGAGATTTTGATCCTTTTGTGTTTGAACACTAGATTATGATGTGTCATCATAAGGATAATTGCATGTCAAAATCCACTGCGTTTCTTGTACGGCTCCTGTGGTTGAGCTCAAGTTGGCTGAACGTTCCATGATACTTAGCTTATTGTATTATGCACTAAAAAATATGTTTATATTATGTCTTTGTCCCTTCTCTAACTATAACCAGTTTTGTAACCTAATAGTATTTTTCTTTTATTTTTCTAAAAAATACTCTAATATTCGACAAAATAATAGATAAATTTTAATTTATATTATGAAGATTTTGTATAGTTCGACACATATATGACTCCAAACCAGCGATTTTCGGTTTCGATTTAAGTCTTTTCTTTGAATCAAAATTATTTTAATTGATCAAAACTATCGATTTCTATTTTCGACTTCACTTGGTTCAGTTTTGGTTTGAGTTAAGGCTAGGATTAATTATATATTACTCTTATAATTAAGTATCTTTAGTATTTTGATCCTTAAGTTATATTAAAATTTTTATAATTAGTAAAATATTTAATTATTTTCTATTCATATTTTATTATAATATTATAATATAATTTTTAAAAATATAAATATCGAAATGATAAAGGATAACTAATTATAAGAATAATCTATCATCAGGCACCGATCTTTTCGGATCCGGATCATCATTCAAGCGAATCCGGATCCTCTTACAGTGGACGAGAGAATCCATGAACCCTAGTTCGCGCTTTAAATACCCGTCGCCTCCCTCGGCGCCGCAAACCCCAATCCCTTCTCAGATTCCTCCCTCTATCGATTTGAACTCTTTCTTTTTGGTGCAGCGGAAGTAATTTTAGGGAGCCTGATGATACGGGTATGTCGCCCCAGTCTTACGGTCCGTTCGTTCTTTCGAATGGGCGATGGTGAACGACAATTCTATCTGATTCCTTGCCGAAATCTCACTTTTGTTTTCTTCTTACAAGTGTTCTGCGTTTCCCTCTTTTTTTACTCGTTCGAATTTAATGGGAGAAATGATGATTCAATTCCATAGTTTTTTTTTTCTCTGCAAGTCAGATGATGAATTATCACAAAACATGCACTACCATCTGATCTCCCTTGTACGCTTAATCGATTTTGGTAATCGCTTTGTTTTCTTTCTAAATGTTCGATTTTGTAGATAAAAATGTTGTTTTTAGTAGCGAAAATACTAAAGAAATAGATAGATTTGGTGTGCAGTCGATGATGAAGAATTAAGCAAGTCCTGATCTTTCTGTGATTATTACATTAATTATCACCATCTTTCGGCTGAGACTGCACGAATTTGTTCTTTAACTTTTCTTCCTGTTTTCCGATTTACGCCTATTATTCTGATATGATATGCGATCGGGTATCTGATGCTGAGCCTTAACTGTGGTGGCTCTGCATCTTGTTAGGGTGGCAGCGATGATGAACAGTTCTTGCGACACCGGTTGCTCTGTTTCTACCGTGAGCTTTCCGGTTGCTCTGTCTCTATCTTGTTCCCTTTCAATAAATTACATGGTCAAAGTCATAGAGCCATTGCGATTCACAAATATATTTTTGTCATGACGTATTGGAATTAAATGTGATCGAATAACATTTTTGTGGAAAGTGGGTGGGAACAATCAAAGGTGGAATGACTTTATAATTAGTTAAATTATCTACGTATTATCTATATGTAATACTTAAAATTTATAGACAAAGGAGTAAATTGCATTTGACGAAAAATATAATTCATAATTAGATTAATTATATATTATATTTTGTAGTTTGTTATTTTTAGTATTTTGATTGTTATATTTTAAAAAGTTAAATTATTATTTTTATAATTATAAAACTAAAATATTTATATTTATTTATTTTAGTATTATCGATTTTATTAATAGAAATATAAAAATATAAAATATAAAAGTAATCTTAATATTTAGGATCGTTTTATGTTGATGTTGATGCATATATCAAGATTGATAACTATATCGATGTGGTAAAATAGTTTTTATCTTTTGGTTATTATTTTTCTCATTCATAGTAATCACTCGTGAACGATATTGTTGTTCGTCATTATTGACGTTAAAATTATTTTTTTAATTTTTATTAATAAAATTTTTGATGTTAAGATAAATAAATCTAGATATAAGGATATTAATATATTTATAATTATTTTTATAATTATAGAGATGACTACTAATATATCTATAATTATTTTTATAATCATAAGAATGTTAATATAATTTTTAAAAAGGAATGATGAAAATATTAAAAATAGTTAATTATATCTAATTAGCTCTTAATAAATGCTTACCGATTGGTGATTACGATAAGTATGAATATATTTGTATCTATTGAAAGGAACCAAATGGCACAAATATTACACGAAGTACGTCTTTCGAAAACAAACAAGTTGCATAAAACACAAAGGACGCCGCAACGGCGCATACGTACTGCATACAACCACGGGATAGATTCGATGAAATCTAATGAGACCCACAATCCTGATAGCGGTAACTAACCAAGATCATCAGAAGCAGTCGGAGATAGATTAATATGCCAAAGCTGTGTTCCTAGCGGCCATCACGGTGCCGCCGCAGGTGGCGGAGTGAGGAAGGGGACGGCAGGCACCGTCGGGATGGAAGGAATGGCCGGGAATGAAGGCATCGGAGGAATCGTGAGCTTGGGGATACCTGCAGGCATAGGCGGCCACGTGACCTGTGGCACCATCGGCATCGGCGGCGCCGCTAGTGTTGGTATAGTCGGCACAACCGGCATCGGCGGCACAGTAAGCGTAGGAATGGCCGGTGCTGACGGCAGGGTTGGTACCGTCGGGGCTGCAGGTGCCTCGGCCGCGTCAAGCAAATGTCTCGCTGCATCGCATGTCATGAGGCTGGCCAGCGTAAGGACAGCTACGAGAATGCTCATCGTGCAGAGGCCAGCGTTAGAAGCCATGAGGGTATGGGGTGTATGTATATGGGTTTGGAGGTCTCGATGGTGGCGATGAAGATGAGAGGCTGGACATTTATAGTGGGAAGAGGATGGAGTTTGGGTCTGTGGTGGTGCAATTACCCTTGAATTAGAGCTCGGTGGTTGGCTCCCATGGCTGGTGTTTCGGTATGTGTTGGTGGGAAAGGACGAAGGTGACGTTTATTTTGTGTTGTTAGTTCACCTTCTCATCACTTGCGGTTGCTTTGATACTATAAAAAAGAAGAAAAAAAAATCTGTCTCAAATCACAAGTTGCGTATTTTTCTTTGCTATTCTTCAATAATGAACATTAATATTTGATAATTATCTAAGTTTTTGTGACTTATTAGTCTTCGGCGGTTGATCTATATTTGACTATAGATCAATTTTCTAACGTTACACATCTGATTATAAATTAATTAAGTGAATATATAACACATCTAATTAATCTAACATTGAAAGTGAACAAGATTAAGATTGATATAAGGATTTAAAAAAAATATATTATTATTAATTTAGGCTTAAATATTTTGATTAATGAATTAGATTAAACGAAGTTGATAGGTTAGTTAGTCCAATTGATATTGAGTTATAATATTTGGTGCTCGACTTAATATTTAGGCATGGTGAGGAAATTCGAGTAGAAAAGGATTATTCGTGGATGGAGTTTGAAGATTCATCGCGGTGTGGAGTTACCATTAGATTATGTCTCACATGTATTCCTTTTACCATCATGTAAAATGCTAATTAATACAAATTAATTTAATAATACTTAGTGTATCATTTGGTCTAATGACCAAATGAATTATATTAGTCAGAGTGAATCTACTAAATAAATCATTTTGATTCAGTGAATCCAAAATAATGTTGCAGGACCTAACATATTGGGTTCGACACAATCATATGGACTTCGAGGCAGCATAAAGATTAATCCGGTAATCTATTGAAATATTTCAGAGCATATCAATATCATATTAATGATATATAAAATATTTTAAAATATGTCAATGATACATCAAATATTTTAGAACATATTAATATTATATAAAATATTTTAAAACATATCAATTACGTATAAAATATTTCGAAGTATATTAATAACATAAGAAATATTTGAAAGCATATCGTACGGTCGAAAATAAAACCGAAACTATCGTGTTCCGCTTTCGGTGTGTCAGCAGGACTCGAATCTGTGATTCCGTACCCTACACAGCCGGGGAAAAGGAACCTTTTAGGTGCAGTCTAGCGTACCTTGCACTGCTTCCCCTCCGCCTATTCTTCTCTCTCTTGTGGCCTCTTCACCTTCTTCTCTCTAATAATAGCGAGGGACAGGGATTAATTCTTCTCCGTCGCAATGGCTTTCGTCTTATCGTATGTAAGTCCTTCTCATTTGACGATATTCGATTTGTTCGTGTCTTTGTTGTGGTTGTTCTTGGTCGATGTGATAGCATGGGATGTAGTGTTTAAGAGCATATGGTATTGATCGGATCTGTTTACCTGTCTAATGATGTTAATTTGTATTTGTTGGGACTTCAATTGACTGAAGAATATGTTGTTTTCTATCTGCCTAATTTTATAGGATTTATAAGTTTGTTATTCTGATCAAATGGGTGGTGAATAAATTGGCCACCAGATTATTCTCTCCTCTTTTAACTTGTAAGCGATTCTTGCATTCTTCAGTCTTCCTTTTGTTGAATAGCAAATCAAAGGAGTAAATGAGCTTCATCACTAGTTTTAGTTTATATCCTTATTGATCTAACTAAATTATTTCTGGCCATGTATAATCTAGAAATCTTTGCTTGAAAAGTTAATCTCTGTAAATGTAACTTATTGTTCATTCTTATATTTCACTTGTCAGTAAAAAGTCTAAACAAAATGTCAACAGTAAGGAGAATTCACTTTTTTTATGGTTTCCTCATAAAGTTTAAATCCGAAGTAGCTTGTTTTCCCTGTTAAGATTTATTTACTGTAGTATTTTGGGTGTCTCATATTATGTTCAATTATTAGTCAAATGCATCATCTGGAATGGGTGTTGCTGAGGATTGCAAAGAAACATTCCTAGAACTTCAGAGGAAGAAAACTTATCGGTATGTGGTATTCAGTATCGATGAGAAGCAAAATCAGGTTGTTGTGGAGAAGACTGGTGCTGCCACTGAAAGCTATGATGATTTCTTGGCATCTCTACCTGAAAATGATTGTCGTTATGCCATCTATGATTTCGACTTTGTAACTGAAGAGAATTGTCAGAAAAGCAAAATTTTCTTCGTTGCCTGGTGAGATTCTTCATGCTAGATTATTTTCATTATGCCTTTTTTGTTGCTAGTATGCTGTCTCTCTAGATTTTATATGTACAGTATAAATCTTTGAATGAATCAAGGATGATTAAAATATATGCATACTGATTGAGGCCTAGTGTTGCAGGGGGAGAATTCTAGGATGTGCTTAGGACATGTTTGACTTAAACCTGTGAAATTAAATTGGAAACATTCTAAAACATGTATGTGATCGTAATTTAATTGTTGTCATTATCTGATGATAAATTAGCAGAAACCTTGTAGATTGGATGGTTCCTTTATTTTGTCTTAGTTGGTCTTGTATGGATACAGAACTTCCAACAATTGTAGTTGTTTGAGGTCCTGAAGAAGATATATGCATTCTAAAATCTAATTATCTCTATTTTTGCTCTTGAGAGTGAAACAGAAATGCAAGTTTTGTCTTATAAAACCAATGGGTATGACTAGATTTTTCATCTTCATTGTGTCAGCAAGACAATATTAATGATCTCATTTGTTGTATGTTGATTGATAATAAAGACCTCATGAAACAGCTCTCTTTAGTTAACAATGTGCATTTCTTTCATTATATTACATATTTTCTAGTGCTGTACAATCTTGCACATCCATTCTGGTTATAATCGTAGTCTTTTCCTTGTTGCTTCTGCCATCAGGTCCCCATCTATATCACGAATCCGAGCTAAGATGCTGTATGCAACCTCTAAGGATCGATTCAGAAGAGAGCTGGATGGAGTCCACTAGCTACTGATCCGTCAGAGATGGACCTTGAGATTCTCAGAGATCGAGCACATTAATCTCAGAGATCTTTAAGCCCAAGAAACTCCATTCAGAAATTGTTTTAGCTACTCATGCCTTGTGGAGATTAGTGTTTAAGATCTTAAGACTTCAGTATTCGGTGCAATTGGGATATGCGTCTTAAACAATTTTAATCATCGGAAACTTCTGTTGATAAATGGTTGAGGCAAGCTGGTGTTTGTACAACCTCTAAGATGACATTAATTGTATGATTGCTAATTGGTGGTGCTGCTGTTTATATTCTTGATTGTCATAGCCTTGCCAAATTAACATTTTTATTGAGAGGCAAACCCAAACAGATGCTCAGATGCTTATTATATGGGCCACTGGATATTGTAATATATAATGCTCATGATTGTATTAGAATCGCATGGTTCTCATTTTTTTGTTAGTGCAGATGACCAATTTGACATAAAAAAGAAAGAATTATATTTGTAATTCATTTTACTATTTATAATCTTATTTAATACTTTTAATATTTTAAAATATTTTTTTATAAATAAATATAAATATTATTATCTTTTTTTTTTCTCCTCGCGAGCGGGAGAGAGAGAGAGAGAGGGATTAGTGGCAAGTGCTACAATATGCCTTTAGATTGGGATTGCATCCACCGTTCATCTGAGCTGATGGCTTTGATAGGAGGGGCCAACAGCAAAGGGGATCTGATGGGAACCTCGCACCCAATTTGGGGAATCGGAAAAAGAGCCGGACAAAAGCACCCAGCTTCCGTCATCGCCCACTCCGGACCGCGTTAGGCACTGCTGCACCTCTGCCGACGGTTGCAGCTCCATTCCATCGGTGGCGGTGGGCTTCTCCGCTTCTTCTTTTTCTCTGCCTCCCCCCACCTACTCCCACTGTCGTCATTGCGCTTCCTCCTCTTCCGTTTCCCGTCTTCCGACCTTCTACCGAGAGTGCGTGCGGAACAACAAATGACCGGGGGCCTCGTCGTCGTCGGCGGCGGCGGTGGCGGTGGCGGAGGTGGAGTGAACCCAACGCTTGTGAGAGTCATCCTGGCGGTGATGGCGCTTGGCCTCGCCGGCTACATCGTTGGACCCCCGCTCTACTGGCACCTCGCCGAAGCCTTCGGCCGTTCCTCTCCCTGCCCCCCATGCGCCGCCTGCGATTGCTCCTCTCAGCCCCTCCTCTCCCTCCCCCAAGGTGCTCCCTCTCGCCCTCCCACCCGCTTTGCCTTTTTGCTCTCAGATCTGATGATGATCCAGTGCCTCTTCCCTGGTGGATCTTGAGTCGCGCTTTTCTTCGTTTCAAGATCTGATCAGGGGATCATTGGAATCACAACAACAGAGTGCTTTCTTTTTTTGTTATCAATTTCTTCTTATTGTAACTATGGATCTTTTGTGTTTCTCTTTACAGAGCTGATCAATGTGTCCTTCACAGGTCAGTGTTTTTCTTTTCCCTTCGTATTTAATTGTTCATTCAGTATCGCATTTGATGTAAGTTAGATGGCAATGCACTATTTATCATTTCTAAATAGGTTAAGCTTCGACAATTTGATAGTTGTAAAGTGGATGAAGTTGATTGTTAATTTGAAAGAGTACTTTGGTATTCCTGATTTGCTTAATAGCAGTTGGTTCTGTGTTTCATGGTTAGAATTTGTAGCATGACCTTTTCTTTTTCCCTATGCAATACTGAAATAGTTACTATTCTATGATCTGTATTTGATATCAGAAGTCAGCATGAGACATGCATGATGAAGATATATTCTTATCTTGCTGTGTTTCTGCTGTATCTAACATAGTGTTTCTATAGTATCCAATTAGTCATGTTCCATGGCAGTAGACCCATGCAACAATTACATCAGATTTGTCAAAACCAGTATGTATTTTGCATGTTATATATACATACTTCCATTTTTATGGTTATAATCATTCCTCTTTCATGTTGTACATCATGGAGTTGATAAGGTAAACACAAAAAAGGGTTTCCCTTCTATGGAAAGAATATGGCATCCCAAATCAACTATATTCCGAATTATGTTCTGTTTCATCATATATGTGGCTGCTTATGCCCTACAAAGGTCATAGTATTACCACCTCATATAAGGTTATGCTGCATCGATAGGTAGTTGTAATGTACACATGTTTATGTCCTACTGACCCTAAAAATTTGAAGCGAGAATGGCATCTCTGGTTTATTTGTCATATTTGTTGCTATTTTTTTGTAATTTATTATTTTTTGCCCTCCATAATTTACTGCAGATATAGATTCCTATAGGCCGGTAAATGGCATCCTGTGAATTTCTGGTTTGTCCGCAGTATAATCTGCCTATAAATAATTTAAAAAATAAAATTTTGTTATCCTTGACTTTGTACTTTATCATGTATTACTTGAATGTTTAATTATGAATCACATGCAGCTGCATGAGTTCACATGCCACATGCTATTTATGATTTCTTGACTGCCTGAATGTATCAGCTGCTTTTTAGAACACTGGTCAATTGTTGACACTTAAGGTCAGTATCTTTTTTAAGAGAATGCATCAAATTTTCAAAGGGTTGAGGGTAAAGAAACTATAGAATAATCAATAAAAGATTGGTAGGAAAGACATAATTATTTTCCTTTTCTTGTGACATGGAGAGTACTCGTTTCGACATTTTAAGAACTCAAAGATTGTGTTTTGATATTGAAATTTAAAGCAAGTAGTCTATGTTGAAACTTTTAGACAGCACTAGATGATGCTGAAAAAGAAAGATCAGAAAGTTTGTAGCACAACTATCTATACGCAATTGTATAATCAATGTCCAAAGAGTGGTTATGTGACCATATATTCAGACATGGTCATATGAGCACCTTGCATAAAGGCTTATGGAGACTTAATATATGGAATTACCAAATATATGGTCTCGGTTGCATATGTGGACAAAATGAATATATTGCTGCATATGCACTTGGCTTTTGATTTGGCCCTGTCACATATGAGTTACTGATAGTATAAACCTGAATATATATTTCTTTGTTATTTTAAGTATTTTAGTGCCAAGGCATAGTGACCGTAGAAGCAGCCACATATTGCCCATGAACTATGCAGTAATTGTCCAACCATTTACCATGTTCTTTTTTAAGCTTCTTGCTACAGATTAGAGTAAAATGGCACACAAAACCCAGCATACCACTTTTAAGTGGAAAGTTGCATATCCTCACACTCTGAAAATTTTCCTGCTTTAACTAAATTCTAACATTAAGAGCATGGTGTTGAATACCATTTGCTAAATCTTCATTATATTTGTCGTCTCTGGTTTGCCTGCACTTATGCATTGTTGCACTATCTAAAAGAGCTGGTTTTGTGATTTAACTAAGGGTTTATTCATGCAAAGGCATAGTTCACTTTGAATACATCTTGAGTATATCCATATACATCCTAAGAACTAGTAATTATTTTCTTAAGTCGGTTGAAATGTATATTTATGTGCTCCAAGAACATATGAATTAACATGATTTGTCACTATGAAGAAGCCCCCCAAATAGTTCTTTCTTTCTATCTTGCTGAACAAAATTTTGGGTGTATGAAATGCCTAAGGCTAGAGAATAATCTAAACTTTCTGCTTATCATGATATGTTTATGTTTTTCAATTGATTTTGTTTACTGCAATTATATTCCGTTCTTTGTTTTTCATTGCAACTACCCATCTGAGAGCCTCTGAGCCCATTTCTTTGATGCAGATTGTGCAAAACGTGACCCAGAGGTCAGTGAAGAAATGGACAAGAATTTTACTGACCTTCTCGCAGAGGAATTGAAGTTGAGAGAGAAAGAGTCAACAGATGCTCAACATCGTGCTGATGTGACACTGCTCGAGGCAAAGAAGTTGGCATCACAGTATCAAAAGGAAGCCGACAAGTGCAACTCAGGGATGGATACTTGTGAGGAAGCTCGGGAAAAAGCTGAAACGGTACTGTTAGAACAAAAGAAATTAACTATGATGTGGGAGCAAAGAGCTCGGCAGCGTGGATGGAAAAAACCCCATGCTTTTCAAAGGTGATGATGTTCCATGTTTTGGTGCAATATCTTAGCTCTTACTATCAAATGTATTGCTTGTTGTAGCCAAAGAAATCTGAAATTATCCATACAAGTTTATTTCTTGATGAAAAATGCACTAGAAAATATGTGGTCACAAATCATTAAATAGAACAAGATCTGTCACAAATTTCATTAGCTGGAAGATGATCGATTACATTGTGATTTAGTTCTTGGCATAACATCCCAGTACTCAACATTGTTTTTTCTTGTGTTGGATCTCATTTGTGTAATGTTTTTGTTGTGTGAAGATTGATACCCTCCCAAATTAGTGGCTTATTTATTTACTATTATTTTTTTGCAGATTACAGCAAGTGATTATATAACATCCTTATTTGAACAAAGAACAATTTTTTTTTTATTTCGAGTAAAATATTTATATTTAATGGTATACAATTTTTGAAGATGTTATCTAGCATTAGCTGCTAAAGATTTTATCGAATGATTGTAAGATCACTATATTATTTAAAATATAGTTAGTCCCTTTTTATATATCTCAGTCAGATGTAAAGTTTTGATATGCCATGTACCATATGCGTCAAAATATTTCATATATGATCAATAAGCTTTGATATATAATGTAACATATGCGTCAATCTATTGTTAATCTATTGTTTTCATAGATTGGAATACATTTTTATGGGCCACCTATTAAGTTTGTTCTTCTATTTCCAGCAAACAAGCAGTGCAACCAACCACTTAGAAGGGAAAAAAAGAAAGCCCTGAAACAAATTGTTAGAGAATAGAAAACAAAACAAAGAGAAGATAGATTGATATGACAAAGAGAAGCAACAATACAAGTATTCCATGATAAAGACTATGCGTCATTTTACTAGAATCTAAGAAGTAGGAAATATAATCAGATTCCTGTCATCGTCGTGGAAAGAATTAGACGTAGAAGTTGCATTCTCATCCAAAAGATGATGAACATTACATTACGAAGTCGCAGCCTGTCCACAGACTGATACAACCTTTATTGCTACTACAAAGGAGAATTCCAAATGCGCGAAAGACTCGGTAGGTATACAGAAGGCAATCGTCTGCATGCGCAGGACGCATCCTTGACATGCATGGATGGATGGTGGCGCACACTGCAGCACCATTTGTCGTTGCTGCTTGGCTACAGCTGGAGCGCCGCCTGCTGCTGCTGTTGCTGAGGAAAAAGGCTCATCACTCTCTTGCAGGCCATGATGGGCTCCCCGGAAAGCGAGATAACCGGGAGGTTGTCGCAGTTGCAGATCTCGATCATGAAGCCGTCCGGGTCATGGAAGAATAGCTGGTCCACGTAGATCCCACCTTCCTCCACTCGACGTTGGATGTAAGGGATTCCCATCTCTTTCAGCTTCCCCTCCACCAGGCTCAAGCTCTCGCACTGCAGCAGGTAAGGAACGAACTCAGTCGACGCATCTTATTCGTTAGGTAACGCAAGATAAAATACGTGTCAATCGCGACTGATGTCAAATGATGATGTTTATTGTGAAGCTCACAAGGCTTCAAGATGAATTCTTTTGCTCGTCTTTATCTTGAACTCAGTGCAATACAAAAGGCTTAGGTGGGTGTAGAGATTGAATTGTGATGACACTGATTTATCTACTACTGCTTTTGGATGTGAGTTGTCAAGCAATTGCGATGGTATCGATCACCGATCATACCCTCGTCTCGTAGCTATGGAAAGGTGTGAAAGGAAGCAAAGAAGAAATGCTTTTACCTCCTCTGCTCCTCTAACTAAGAAACAGTCTACACAATCTCCTAAAATAATATGAAACGATTACCTGGAAGGAGATGTGGTTGTCCTTGGGGTTAATCTCCCTCTTCCTCGGCATCTTCTCGGGGTCTTCAGATTGCAATAAGTGGATGCCGATTCCGTAGTTGAACAACCTGTGCATCAGAAGAACACAAGGAAAACCGGTTGATGGAAAGAGGAGACAGAATTCCATGAATTCTCCATGCCGAAGAATGAAATGTTGTGGCCATGGATCACGCCAGGAGACATTAACTTACCAGGCACCAGTAAAATCGAAGGATCCCGGCCTCCTGATGGGGAGGAAGCCGAGCACATTCTGGTAAAAGTCAAGTGATCTCTCCACTGATCTGCAGACCAAGGAGATGTGATTCAAGGAAGCCAACGGCAGCGCGCCACCTTTAGCACCCAACATCTTGTGAAAGCTGTTTGTTTGATGGAGAGAACAAGGAGAGCTCGGAACGTGCTTTGAGGTGGATAGAAGCTATGTCGCAGGGGATATATATTGATATGCAACACAGGGGGGATTCACTACGACTTTGTCCAATCCGTAACGACGACAGTTTGCCTAACCTGACGTGGACGATGCATGTGATTATGACACGTGGATCCAACTAAGCACACGTTATCTATAGGATTCCACATTTAGTGTTGCCTGCTAAGCTCCAAGTCACATTCTATATATATACATATATATATATAACATAAATTAGTTAACGAAAATTAGTTATCCTTCGAAAAACCTCTTCTGATATCGATCTTTATACCCGAACAAAATAAGAAAAATCATGACTCGTAGAAGCATGTAATTAAAATTACAATCTTTAGTCTGACTTGCAATTTCTTTTGGATATTAAAATGTTATGGTCAAACTGATGACTCATGGAAGCAGGTAATTAAAATTGAATCATACGCTCTATGCTTTGGATTTATGTTCCCCTTCCTGTGTACATCCATGTGCAAGCACATGACTTCACCGGCATATATTATACGCACGAGAAATAAATCACCGATGGTG